CACAGTTTTTTCAACCTAAACTCAGAATTCATCTAATAAATATTGTAACCGTAAATTCTAATTTCCACTTTCAGTAAACTGATTCCTAAGATTATCTACTCGCTGAATTAAATCATGTAATAAGTTCTGAAATTGATCACGTTCAGCTATAATATTTTGTAAAGTAACCCGAATAGTATTTAATGAGCCTCTGATACTATCTATAACATTGGCGGGATTCTGCATAGGCATACTAACTCCCCTAATATAATTTTTAATTCAATCTAATCCTCTATTAATGTTGGCAATAAGATTAGTCATTGCCATATTTAAAGCATTTATTAAGATTTTTTTATCTATGAGAATCCAGATTCTTGCTTTAAGATTCCCAACCTTATTTTCGAGCTCTATGATTCGATTATCTTGAATAGATCTAACCTCATCTTTGAATTTTTTATCTTATTGTAAGATCCTAAACTGTTTTCGCAAATCAGATATTTCTGATTTAAGTTTCTCTACCTCTTTTTCGTAGGTTATAATAGTATTATCCTGTAATAAAATAGTTCAATAATATTACTCAAGCTCCTTCACAAGAGAGTGAAGTTTTTTCTCATTACTCTTATTATTAAAAATCTCATCTTAAAACTCACTACGAAGCTCCTGATTCGTATCTAACAGTTGTGAATATACTAGATCACATGAAAGTGTAGGCATAGTATTTTCAATCTGATTTAAAGAGCTTCATATAATCGTAGCCTGAGAATGAGTCAACTACAGATTATAATAGATTCTAATGAAGAGCTCCGCATAGTATATAGACTTCTGTATTATAATATTCCTGAATTTTGTTCGAATGTCAGGAATTGCAAAAAAAATGTCCAGATAAAGGGTTCTGAAGTTTTCAATTGCAGGACATTGCAAAGTGATTAGGATATCAATATAGCTATCAAATTTATCGACACCCATTATCTTGTAAAGCTAAGACGAGTTTTTCAAAAATTAAGATTTTGAACAAAGTCTATCAATACGATATATTGCTTTACACCCATGATCAGGATGGTAGGAGAGTATTCATTTATAGTTTTCTATTCATAGATGTGACAACATATTTTAAGGATGGACGTTCATTAATATTGAGAAATAGCTTAGAAATCTGAAATGCAATCAAAGAAATATATGAGGACCTTTTTAATCCTCTTATATGGTCAGAATTATTGATGACTGATGGTAATGCTTCGTTCTGAGGTGCATTTTCATGAGGGATGCAACAATATAATGTCACTATATATATTGTCAACCTTTATAGTTTTGAAAGTTTGGTTTTTATTAAAGCGTTTAAGAAAATAATAGCACAATTAACATATAAGATCTAATATGCTATAGAGGGATGATTAACCGATGGGAAGCGATTAAGAATATTTAGGAGAATCCTTAAGAAGTATATTGATTATCTGAATAACAATAAGATTCGTCTTATTGGAATGTCACCAGCTCATGCTATGACTTTGGAAGAAGTTGAATCAAAGCCTTCTAAAAAACCTAAGCGTGCAATCGAAAAAGATGAGGAAATAAAATTACAAAAAGGTACAGCAGTTAGATATCTGTTAAAAGTAGGCGAGTTGGAAGGAGACTATAGACGTAGAGTAACTGACCCGTACTAGAGCTTATATGTCTACAGAATAAAAAGAGTCATTGTCAGACGAAATTCATCACAACCAGTCTTATATTATCTTGAGGATGAACCCATTAAATTAACTGCCCATCTGATGAGATGAAATTCAAAAAAATCCTTTAAATATAAGGAAATTCAAATAGTTGAGGAATCTGATAAAATCGAGTACCCACCTGATAGATTTATGCGAAAATATCATCCTACTGGATTCGTCCATTATATTTAAATTGCTAATAATAATTTAACTAAAGCTTATCAATATGCTGAAAAACATAGTGGCCAATGCTTAGAAAGAACTGGGCGAGTAAATGATTATAATGTTTATCTTTGATCCTGTGAAAACGATGCATATCAATAGGAGTATTTATTAAAATACATCATGAAAAAATTTGAATGGTGCCCTCTATGCCATCACATTACTGAAAGAAATGTACGTTACATTTTTGAGGATCTGCTAGGTAGAAATTCCTACCATGTAGGTCTAATTTTTTGGATGGGATGCATCTTGATGGGTATAATGAGGAATTGCTTCTTACATTCGAATTTTAGAGATTCCAGCATTATCAACACAATAGCTTATACCATCAAAAGAGCGAAAGTTTAGAAACTCAGAGAATGTGTGATCAGAAGAAGCAGGATATATGCAAGGAACAAGGTATATGCCTTATCAAAGTTCCTTATAGCGCTGATCTCCTGTCCTATATCAGACATACTCTAATCGAGAAAGGGTTTTTGAGTAATTCTTCAAGTTAGATTGGAAAGACTTATTTTCTTAGCATTTTTTCATTTACTTCAGGTAAGGGAAAACATGTGACCGAAATTTTGCCAAGAATTTTTACTTCGTTTGATATAAATAATACTTAGTTTTGATAATATAAAAGTTAAAAAGCTTGATCCAGTAGATAGAATTATTCTCCATATCGATGAGATTAAAGATGCGAAAAAATTTAACGCATTAAATTCAACTTCTCAATGGCCTTTCACACTTCTAATATCAGGCCAAACTAATTCAGAAAAAACTAATGAAGTTGTAAATCTATTATTGGGGAACAAGTTGTATCAAATGTTTAATAGAAAAAAAGGAGGAATCAGATTTATTAAAAATGATGATTTATTACTTATCGGCCACCATCTCAAGGAACCAAAATATTTATATTTCAAATTAGGATATCAGATAATTGCAAATAGCCCAAAACACTTCCGTGAAGATATCACATTTCGGACTATAAAGCCTGATAAAATTCTAAAGCTAGATTCATTCTCTCCAGAAAGAGGAACAGTTATTATATTCAAAGATCTATGTGCTGATTTGAAAAAGGTCCAGGAGAAGATTATTCCTTATTTTACTGAAGGATGTTACAAAAATATAAGCTTAATCTATGTAATGCAAAGCTTTTTTAACTGTCTGAAGTTAATAAGGAAAGAATTAAATTACATCGTACTCTTTAATAGTTCTACTTCTGATGAATTAGCCTATATTCTTTGCCTATATGTTAATGACTGGCGCAGTTTCTATAAAAATTTTGATAATTATTTGTGTAATCAGAACTTTATTGTCTTTGATTTAACAGTATCCTCAAACCATCCTCACCGAATACGAAAAGGATGGAATATGTCATTTCTTAGTGAATAGAATTTTCCTTAAAGCTATTGAGTAAGATAAAATATATATTTTTTTTGGATTTCTAGGTTATATTCAGATTCACTACGTCTCTTTACCTATAATTTATTTTCATGAGTACTAGAATATATTTCTGGTTCTATAGTTACATCACTATGCTTCGTTTTGAAAAGGATCTGATCAACAAGAGCGATAATTTTCCTATCCTTAGCAGAAATAATATCCTCCAGATGTCAGAATTTATTCTTTAACAGGTCAATGGACTTTTAGCTGATGCAATAGCTTTTCTCGTATCAGAAATTATACTTTTGAAAAAAGCTACTAAATTTGATAATTAGGTGACTTTCTCACCACTCTCTTCCAAAGACCTGATCATAGCTACCTCACGAGACTTATACTGTTCTTGCAAATTGAGAAGCTCTTCAATCTTTTTTTCTAATACCTGCTTTGATATACACAACTCCTCATTTTCTTGCTTTAGTGACGTTTCATAGTTGCTAGTAATAGGCTTCATCTTCTGATGCTCCTTTTTCTTAATATAATTTTCAACTGCCTTACTTAACAAATTTTCTATTTCAGGGTGAATACTACTTGCCTGTTTCAGCGATAACAGATATTTTTGAGATGTAAAGCATCACCATATATCTATTTTGATAGATCGAGAAAGTTGGTTAAGTTGCTTCAAGTAATATATGTGAAAAGATGGTGTCAATATATTATTAGTCATTTTATACAGATAATAAAAAATTCTAAGAATCTAAGAATTCTGGGTATTCTCTGCATTCGGACAATTAGTGTAAATAAATTTACGTGTCAATATCACGAGAAATCTGCTAGTAATACAACTTCAATCAAATCACGTGTGTGTTATAATTTCTAATACCGATCACTTTTGCCAGCTAGCATTAATACAGGATCACATTTTATGCGATATAGATAATAAATTTTTACTAATTCATTTTGTAATTACTTATCTTCCAATTTTACAATTTTGACATTAAGCTCGCTAATACATTGTTTCAACGAATCAGTTTTACCAGAACCATCTATTTCAGATTGCATGCTTGCATAATGTAATATTAGTATGTTAATATTCAAAAATAAAAAATCACGTGATTTCAGCGACCTCAAGTTATCCAAATTTTGCTAAGAAAAAAATACAAATGAATATGTAAAAATAATCAGCTACCAAGGCACTTTATTAATATAGTAAAAATATACAATATTTCTATGCTAAAATACACAAACAATCTCTATACTAACTATTTGTTATATAGAGGCGTGAAGACAGTGGGACTTGGGTTAACATTTTAAGGCGGATGAAAGGTAGCTTGTCTTAATGCTTATATTAGAAGACTCTTATTCATGATCATTACATTTCTTAAGGTTAGTAGTAAGCGAATAAGAGATTTCAGACACGACTGGTAAGGGGATAATAGAATTTCTGCATGATCTAGATAGAAATATTTTGGTATACCAGCCAGATTATTCACAAAAATATTCAGATACATAGTTGTGTCTGCGACCTGGCCGTTCTAATTCTTCTAGATTATCATGTTTGATTTCTATTGTTTCGTTGAAATCACTATCATTGGGAATATTATTTTCCTAATGACATTATTATAGCAAGAGCGAAAAAATTTAACAAGGTTATCTAAGGTTATCTCAGTATAAATCCTTAATAAAGATAATTATACTTGATTCGCCCATTTTATTACTTGAATATTCTCAAGTTGTAGTCTCATAATCGGGAGTATCAACATTTGCTAAATTCAACTAGATCACAATGCATATATTATATCAGTACGAAAATTCGACTTAGATTACAAAACCAAGTATGAGTGAAGTGAAAAAAATTACTGGAGAAATATAAGTTGATGCTTCGGTCAATTCTTCATCGTAATCATCAAAAGAATTATCGCCACTTTTATAACATAGAGAGAAAGTGTGAGCGTAACTGCGAAATTTAGGAGGAGAAGTGATGATTAGAGAAGCTTTCTCAGCTAGTCATTTTCTTTCATTCTTTGAAATTTTACATTCATTCATGAGTGATGTAGTGAATAGAATTTTTAATGAGTATTTATAGAAGAATAGGTGCAGAAGCAAGTAGCACAAAAAAAGAACATATATAAATATACTGGTTCATTATTGGAGACATAACCTCCATCGGTTTTTAGTATACTATCAACTTTGTTGAAGGCAGTTTTGATCAACCTCTCAGCGTCATGCATTACTGTTCGAGCCATTTTTACCTAATCAGGATATTTAGTCAATACATGTCTGAATTGTAATAGGAACTCAAAAAAAATGGTAATTTAGTGAACCTTATCCAAATGTAAGTCTGAATCAGCAGTAGATGATTCTATTTTATTTCAAAATATTCGGACATCATTGTATTTTTCGCGGTAAGCCTTACATAATTGGGAGTCAAGAGGTAAGTATAGTGATTGAAGGAACGGTATGAAAAAATAAAAAAGGCAATGACTTGGAAGTTGCTTACAACAGATACATAATGGATACACAAACCATAAGGTAAACAGTATGCAATTGTCTACTGTAGTTGTGTGTACAAGAGAAATCTTGTGATATACAACGAATACGTAAATCATCAGAATCAGGACGCACTTAACTCTCATAGTCGTATAATCACGTTTGGAAAAAAATATTATATATGTACTTGCCTTATACTTTTGCAATAATTCACTTACAGCCGTTTTTACTTCTTCTGAGTCACCTTTCACTAGTATGTTGAGATCGTTCTTGAGTTTAAGAGCCTTCTTTAAAACGAGTAAGTAAAATTGGGTTGCTTTTGACGGTATTGATAAAAACCCAAGAAGCTGTAATCTTTGGCAGGAGTTTCACGAAAGTATGCAGAACAAATTATTAGTGAACGCTTATTAGAGCGGTTACTTTCTACACAAGTCATGTTGGAAGGAATAATTTTTAGGAAGATCGAGAATGTGGCTTTTGTCATAAAATCTACTTTTTCATCTCCACGTGATCACCACCCATGTAATACAGTTACTACAGTATTCTGTAATGCCAGCAAAAAATCATGTGGCTGAAAAAAATGATGGGTAAATTTGTCATAATGTTACAATCACATTTTTTGGTATTGTAACAAATTAATAACCTCTTCATGCTTATACGCTTATACGTATTCTGAATTTCTGTAAAGCTAAATTTTTAGCGTTACAATTAATATCGACGCAAATGGCCGAAGTGGGCAAAATTTTATTGATTTTTCAGATACATAACGAATTAGAAAATGATAGTGCTAGCGAGAGAAATATATGATGCTATAAAAGAGGAAGGGAGTACGTGGATCCTAGACTATTAAATGCGAGTCCCAGCATCAAGTTATTTCTTTGAAATTTTTATAACTAATATATTTCTATCACTATTACTAAATACGAGATTCTTATCCCCACACTCTTTTATTACACTAGATTTTCTAAATAAATTATCCCACCCATTTCTACACCTATCTATATCATTAACACCTGCACAGACTATATAAAAGATTATTTCACGTAAGAGAACTTTATTGAGATTAAGTAATTTCGAATCTACAGCATAAATTTAGAGATTAGTAACTGAGGTAAAAAAAAATAATATTTACCAATTCACACTTACCAATATACTTTATTTTCAAAATATTCCATTCCACCTCATATACAAGGAATAATTTTTTCTGCATTATCGCAGGAACAATACTGCGTAAATTTGCTTTACTTTGCCATATATCATTTATACTGTGACACTTTTTTAGATCCTAGTTTGAAAGATCCTTTACAATAAATGGTATTAACTCTGGCGGAAGTTGTTCTAGTAAATTATCTTTTTGCATTCTTTATATGGTTAGAAGATATTTTAATCAAAAAATAAAGTTAGCTATAGCACGGAGTGATAACTGGGTTAGGTTGGCTCAGCCCACTTCAAACTACCACCCGCTTAACCTTTTTTAGTTACGTCTTCCTTCGTTGCTTATGAGGGACATCCTTTTTTTCTCTTACCTGACACCAATGGGACTCCTCAATTATTTCATCTAAATCAGAATCTTCAGAAGTCTCGAACAAAGCCTTACCTTTTTTATTAATCAGCAAGGGAACTATTTCATATATTAAGTTAACCACAGCTTCCTATCTACACATTCGTTCAGATCATCCAATTCAATATTTAAGCATCCCACATCTCTTTCCAATCTTTTTACTCTCCTTTCTAAAGAATTATGTTAGGAATAATAATCTTCTAATTGTTTCTTTAGTGTCCTATTTTCGCCAGAAAGCGCTTTATATATTTTTGCATTCTGTTTGTCTAGTCCAAATAACTTGGCTATTTTTTCTGTACGTCTGATAACTTCTTGCTCTCTAAATACATCAGATGAATGATTTTGATCGGTTACCATTTTCGTGATATTTTATATATGATATATCTTGTCTCAAGTGAAAAAATAGAATTAATAAATGATATCAGACTGATAAATCAGTCCTCCCGACCCTCTAACCCATATATGTGATTAGTTTTCATCAGAAATCTAGAATGGTTTTGCTTGATCATAAGGTTACCCCCTCCTTCTTAAATTAACTATAATATATCTATCAGATGGAGAAGTATGATTGTCAGGACTGTGGCGAAGTGTTTCACTGGCATAAGTATTAGCTTTTGATGGATTTTTAGGTCCATGCATTACGGAAGCAAACACTGCCCCTAGTTTACTTAAAGAACTAGAGAGTAGTGATTCATAAGGTTTAGGAATATATTCATTTTTTTTCAGAAATGAACTTAAGTATGTCGATCCAGGCTTTTCTGGATCTTTTAACGCTCTGAAAATGATTGCTTCCTGAATTCATGTAAGCAATTGTCTTGCTCGCTCCTCATTTTTTTCCAATGATCTAAACACCTGAGAAATATCTTGTTGACCTCAGTTTTTTACGTATTCAGTTACACCCCATTTGCTATACGCAAATTTTTAATTTCAGCAGGGCGGATACAGAGCATGATCATTACATCAGCTAGGGCCTATTTATCGGATGTGTTAAACACAATATACAAATCTAGCCGTTCTTTAACTGATTCTAATGAGAAGTGGTCCAGATAATGAAGTCTTTCATTTTTACATTACTCAGTATGCTCCTATTAGATTTTATTAGATGCTCTGGTTATCTTCAAAATCTTGGTAGCAGAGATTATTTTTTCTGGGTCGCAATTCTCTTTAAAGCCTGGAGAGACGTGATAAGGTAACGACAGGATCAGAAACAGTTTTGACTAAGATTCTAGATATCGCTTTTACATCTCTTTCACTAAGATAATCTTAAACAATATGCTGAGCCATTTCTTTAATAGTCTCCTTAGAACAAGCACTATCAAAAACTTAACATATATTCACTTCTCCAGCCTCTGACTCATCCCCTTATTCTTTAAGGGTTACTTAACTTTTACTTCGCCTAATTCTCTCATGGGAAATTAATACATATGCCTGTTCTTTGCTAAACTTATATTCTTTTTGAAGACGATCACGAGTCTGGCGTCTTTTTTCTTTATTTACCTTTGGCATACCAGTTATCAAGAGCTCAAGTATTTCTAACGCATACTGGCTAAGCTTTTTGAGACTCATCTTATTGGTAAGTTTGTGGTCTGTAACGAACTTAGTTGTAATAGCAGACATAGAGTGGTATATAGAATATATGGTAGTAGTTAGATTAATCTGTGGTATTCAGATTATATTACGTGAGAAAAAGGTTCAATTCGAAAAATTTTCTCAGAGTCATGCTTCTTCGAAAAGGAAACTATCAGAGATGGCTTTTGACTAGATTAAAGGAATGAAAAAAATAATATAGCTTATGCTCTAGACCAGCATAACACATTTTTAAATATCTATAATAAAAATGAAAATAAGTTTAACATATATTAATCTTAAAAACTTTTCCAGAAAGAAGTACTATGCCCTTTGGTCTCTTTAGTGAATACATATCTGATTCGGAAGACTCTATAGATTCTAATTATCCATCTTGGCCTTACCTATATAAGAAAAAATATAGGTCTATCTGCGGGAAAATATACTTTCATAAAGACAGATGTGTCAAATACTATAGGTCTTCACCAGAAAAAATATGCGCATCCTGCTGTAATAGGCTGACCTTTTCTATAATATATGCCAAATCTATTTATAAGAAAAATTGGTTAGAGAATCGCAAAAAGAATAAGTAGGATTTGTAACTTTAGCCAAAAACGCTAAAGCAAAGGAATTTTAAATATCTATAATAAAAGTAAAAGCGAAATTTTAAGATTATTAATATCAAAATTACCTCATATAAGTCGTTTTATCTACCAATATATCAAGAGAGATGGTTTGATATGTGGAAAAGGATGCATGAGTGATTTAGGATATTCCAGACATTTTAATGCCTGTCCTAAAACAATATGCTCTATTTGTAAAGAGCTAACTTATTCTGATACTGGAATCTGTAACACGCATAGCAGATTTTATGACCATGTCTGACGCGAAAGTAAAAAAACTAAAACAAAATCTAATATGTCAAGACTATAGATGCCTGCCGAAACCTCCTCAAAATAATTTCGTCATACCCTTTTCTATGTTTTTAATATAGTTTCAACAGTTTCGGCTTTCGTCATATCGAATGGATTTCGTCATATCTCTTATTATGATTTTAATATAGTTTCGTCTAAGTTTCGACTGTTATTAAAGGGTTTCGTCCCTCATCTATAGTCAAGACTTAGCTGGATAACGAATCTGGGCTGAAATATTATTTGTCTTGCCTATAAAATCAAAAAGTTCCTGAATCTCATTATCTGTTTTTGATCTATATGGTGGAAGTTTTAGTGCGCTTTATCTTTGAAACCAGTACTGTTATATGGCTGACGATTAATTCAGTATGAGTATTGTCTAACTTGTTGTTCTTTAGGCCCTATTCTTTTTTTTATCACTTTCAACATTATACCCATACCAATTGCTAGCAATTGCATTAATTGTTTATATAGCTGAATGAAGATCTGGTATTTTCTTTGTATGAGACTTAAAACCAAAGAGTAATAAAGATTAGTTTCGAATTTCTATAAACTTTTCACAAAATCGCATAAATGATTTTGATGCAGTATTGCTAGAAAGAGTACGCTTGTCATCAATGTCAGTAAAGCCTAATATTTAAAAAGTTCTTATATAACTTTCTAATACTTTGCTGAATAAGATTTACACAAGTCTTCTGCTACTGATTTTTTCAGATTC